TTTATTAAATTCTTGATACAAATCCTTATTTAATCACTTGAATTCATTCACAGCATGAAATCTAAGAATTTTGCTTTGAAGGGAAATAAGGTTAAAAATTCCATTTATCCGAAGATTACCTAACATGAAAAATGTATCCGTATCACCCAGCTATACACTACGATGCACATACCTTAAAGTCGGTAAAGAATACCTAAATATCGGTAGAAATTACCGATAATCGAAGAAAGTGCACATACCTCAATTATCGGTAATCATGGATTACCAATAAATAACGTTTAGTATTACTTATTTTATAGTAAAAAATAGTCTATTTAAAGCTAGGGGTAAGACAACTGTACTCAGAGTTAATATTTTTGCAGAGAGTAAATTTGAGCTACTCAATATTTACTCAAAAACAAACAAAGTAGTCTAATATTTTTCATCAAATAATGTTCAAACAATCCCCGTCTGACAGAATGTTTTGATTTCAAGATTTAGTTTTCATTCATTAAAAGATCCAAGTTAGATGGCTCTTGTCCAAGCCAAGGGATGTTTAGGTCTCTTTTTCTTTCTAGGATGGATGGCTAAAGTGTAATGTCTTTGAAGTTTTTGGTGATGTAGAGGTGTTAGTGTTTCCATATCCCAGCCATTTATATCTACCCGGGAATCTTAAAATAGCTGAAGATTCTTCCCGGAAATCGGGAAATATTTTCGGTAGTTATTTATTAAAACTTGAACTTCGTCAGGATTTCTCCCGGAAGATTTTTCCGACAATTTCTGGAAGTTTCTTCCAACTTCCCCTTGAAGATTTCGACCAGCTTCTTCGGAAGGATTCTTATGATTACTCTGGGAGGTTTCGTCTGACTTTGCACGAAAGTTTCTTCCAACATCCCCTGGAAGTTTTTTTTTTAAACTTTCCCTGGAAGAATCTTCCACCTTCGTCCATTGTTCAACGGAAGTTTCATCATCTTTTCATTCCAACAGTATCAGATTATAATCAGAAGTCCTAGATTACAATCAGAAGTGCTACCGGTGGAAGTGGAAACTGTTTCCCATTTCATCCGGACTTCCCACGGACAACTTTTCTGAATTATTCTGAAAGTTTCATCCGGCTGCCTATATTTGCATGGAAGTCTCTTCTAACTTCGCCCGGGAGTTTCTCACAGTTTGTGTCAGAAGCGTCTACCTGTTTCGTTTGAAAGATTCTTCGCCAGGAAGCTTTCCTGACTTCGCACTAAAGATTCGCCAAACTTTCTTCGGAAATGTCTATCAATTTTCCCCAAAAGTTGTGTGGTCATTTTTAATATAATATATGTTTAACATGGTTTTCGTACAAAAAAACTGCTTCTCGGGAAGTCAAACTAGTTTTCTGGGAATCGGGAAATGATAATTCTGGTAAATTGCCCGGGAAGGAAACACTAGATGGTGTGATTTCAAGACTAAGGAAGTAAGAATTTGGCCAAATGTTTTCAGAAGCTTAATTTACCTCATGAAAATTAATGCTCAATCTCACAAAATCGGTCAAAGAGGTTTCATATTTTGTTGCACTACATGCCCGAATGAGGAAACTCATCAATAATAATTATTATTAATAATTACGGTGTATAATCATTAAGGAAGAGGGATTTACATTTCTGAGAATATTTAGTTAGAAAATGTCAGAGTTAGGGTCAACCGAGGGGTCAACTCTCTCCAGAAGCGTTCGTTGTTTTCCCTGATACTCCTGCAAAAAGACATCAATAGACACGAGTTGAAAAAGGTTGAACAGGAACAGGTTGAATTTTCATCGTCTGGTGTTGTTGTGTTGATCGATATTTAACACAAAAGGAGCATTGTTGAATGCAGTCTTTTATTTAATTGTTCATCCCAGGACCAAATAGGTTAGTTCTGGCCAACTTCATAGTTGATTCTATTCAGAAATTTATATGAAGTTTGTCAATGAGCGATCGTCAAAAAGATGTAGGAACCATCACATTCCATTTTTTAATACTGGGATTGTCCAAAATCAACCTTTGGATTTACTGAATTATATCGAATCCCCCCTGGACAGTCATGAATCCCCGTCAATATTGAGTGCAATTCTTCCTGTGATTGTCCGGAATCTTCCCTGGGATAGTTCATATTCCTTCTTTGGATTTTCCGAAGTTACCTTTGATATTGTTGAGAAACCGAACTGGGATTGTCTGAAATTCCCCCTAGGCTTGTTCGGAATCTTTACTGAGACTGTCATAAATCCCCTTTGCGATTGACTGGAACTCTCTTAGAGATTGTACAAAATCCCCCTAATAAAACGTCATCGGCATGGCAGTAAAGCAAGACAGCTCTGACTGTTCCGTAAGGTCACCATAGAAATCTTCCATCGATTTTGAGGGGACAGCTTGTAGGGGAGAATGGTATACAACGCACCCCCTGGGCAGAACGCACCAGCTGACTTTCATTTGTGTTTTTCATGGCTTTTACGTAACTTTTTTGTTGTCTTATCAAGCAGCACTTCTAGCGTAGCATCTGAACTCAAAATCCTGCATGATAAATCCTAGAATTGGATTAAAACTTCCAAGAAAAACTCAAAATAAAATGAAAAAGTGCGTCTTACCCCGGGGGTGCGTTATGTACTGTTCTCCCCTAGTTCCTTTCATACACGTGCAGTTGCCTTTTAATTGCTGAAAGATGTTCCCAGTAAAGCATTGCAAGCGCACCGTTTAAAATGTTGTTGCTTTGCTTTGCTTGACAGTATCGGTTGCTATGTGTATTTTATGTTGAGCAACGCGAGTTACTCAGAGTTACTCAAAATTAACTCCGATTTTACTCAAGATCAAAAGCTGTCTTGCCCCAAGATTTAAAGTAAAAAGTAACGATTTTTATCGGTAAAAATACCGATAACATTTTACCGATAATTTTAGGTAATCATAGCTAAGAGTGTAGACGTAATTTATGAGGCCTTCATGTGCTTGGCAAATCAGAGGTTCTGCACATCTACAATTGCAAATTTCATCATCTCATATAGGAATGAATAAGTTGAGAATTCAAGATGGATGGGAGCTTGATTTGGTTTTATGGAAACATAAAATTTTAAATATGGCTATACGATGACAATGTTTTGCTTTCTATTAATCTTGGGTCAAACCTAGTGGCAATTAGATATATCTGCGACTTTTATTTTAAAAAATTAACTTTTGAAATTACAAGTTGAAATTGAAAGAAACACTTTTAATCCGAAAAAAATGTTTTGATTTTGAATATTTTCGTTGTTAAAACTACGAAATTGGAGAAACTTTTAAATTGAAATTTCATTATTTTTATAGGAACAATTTTTGTTCTTTGTGTGTATGCTTGTAGTTAAGTTTTCTGAAAATCATGACAACCACCAACCAAATGGATTATTTTTCTAAACTTCTCTGAATGCCCAAGAATTAGTGCAGAACTATGAGGCTACTGCCTCAAAGTTCTTTACTAATTCTTGGGCATTCAGACAAAAGTTAGAGAATACTATTTCGAAGTAGTAGTCGTTATTTTGATGCCTTCCGAATATTCAAACTGTGGTCAATTTAAACAAATTTATCATATTTTGAATTTGCAAATGCTATGGTCAACGTCGACCGATAACAGCTTGCACTAAATTTGAATGAAAATGGCTTACAAATGATTGGCTCGAAGCAGTAGGAAGATCATGGGATCTATCTATAGATGATTATCCAGTGTAAACCACCATTTTCTCTCTTTATTTATACAGCTATTCCACATAGACGCCCACATTCATCAGGATTCACTTTTCGACCAGGGGAAGCTGCAGAATTTAGGAATATTTATAACCGTTGAACGTCTTTCTTTGACAGTTGGGGAATAGAGATTGCTAAAGTATGATTGTGTCAGTGATTTGTTTTCATCGGGAAAATTTTCCGCTATGAAGTTTTTTTTAAAAAATAATAGAAGTTAATTTTAGTAATAAACTGTATTTGTTTTTGCTTTGTAAAAATGAAGTGAGAAATGCTCGCTGCACATCTCGGACTTTAAGATTTACCTACTCTTTGAATATCTATAGTAAACTATGATCCTAATCCATCAATTACTTTAAAGAAAAACAAATTTCAACAACTGTGTGAAAAGTTATTAACAAATGAGCAGTTGGTGTGTACAACTGTGTATGCCAAACATGATGTTGATGTTGTCCATTTGTCAACTTTTCTCTCCCAACATAGTTTAGCCATTTTTGGGTAGGTTCAGTTTTACCGATTTGGGTATATTGTAACCGAGTTTGGGTATTTTTTAAATAGCGATCATTGTGAGCTAATTTAAAATCGTTAGTTTCCAGGGTTGCTATTAGCGTGTATTTGCTTATGTTGCATGCAAGTCGCGCGCGTAATTTCGTTCCTATCTTTTAGACTTACCTTGACAAAGAAATTATCAAAACTAGATAAACATTTCAAAATGTCCTATTTGCATTGATCGATTCTCTTCATCGACTTTCTTTTTCATTAATAACTCAGCAACAAAACCATTCTCTGTTGCATTTGACATTTAGAACGCTAGATAAGAAGCTCTTTCATCAATCTATATGGTAAAATTAGCGTTTGCATAGAAGTGGTTATCAAAAGAGAAAGTCGATGAAGAGATTCAATCAAAGCTGATAGGACCATTTCATTTGTTTCTCGAGAAAATAAATTAATCCGACAGTGAGCATGCATAAGGGCGTAAACGCGATGATCGATTCTCTTCGTCAATTTTCTCTTTTGTGAATTAGTCGCTAGAATTAACGTTTCACGTTGCGTTTGTAATGTAATTGCTTTTGATAGTCAATACAACTTGTTACAACTCTGCATTGAACAAATTCTAGAACATTGTTTCGCTTAGCTGTAGCAATGCAAAGAGAAAATCGATGAAGAGAATCGATCATCGCGTATACGCCCTTATGCATGCTCACTGTCGAATCATAACTTCTAATCTGTCAAAAACTTAAAATGTAAACAAGAACAAAACATTTAGTAAATCTTTCTTCTGCGATTATTTATAACGACTAGCGAATACTTTCAGATCGAAAATGAACGACGAATCTTCCGTTGCACGGAAAACAGTGCCACCGTTACGAATAAAAAATGTCCGTTCGCTGCAAACTGTTCACATATCGGACGAGGAGAGCCCACTTTCCGTCGATACAGGTTCCACTTCGGAAAACGATAATTTAATTATAGATGAAATGGAAGAACCGGCAGTAGATAAAGATGAACCGATTGTTATCGAGACCACAGAACCGGAAGGCGGTGCGCACACCAACCGCAGAACGCGGAAGAGGACTCGGAAACAGAAACCTGTTCTAGATGAAGATCGAATTCTGGTCATCGATGGAGATACAATCGGGAGCGATGAATATGAACAAGATCTCCATTCCAGTTCCAGAGTGTCGTCCAATAGGCACTCGATCAACAGCGATGAAAGTATGGCTCCTTCCGGGGTGCATAACACATCGAGCCACAGTTCCAAGGGAAGCCGTCGAAAAAGTCATCACGTTCCGAAGCAGGTTGGAGATGTGGTGTTTGAAGAAGCAACGATTCTAACCGTTGACGATGACGAAGACGATGATGATGATAAGGATGTCGAAACTAAGGAAGATGACAAGAATGACCCCAATAGAAATTTAATGAAAAACATTGCCATGTTGAGGACATGCATAAATTATGTGCTTGTACAGCAAAATTATCGACCAATGTCCTTCAAGCACAATTTCGAAAGCACCTCGAAAATGGTTGAGTATTATAACCAATTGAAAACAAATAAAAAATAATGATGAAATATTCTAGTCACTGTAGTTTTTTCCCTTTTGAGGCTCAAAATCTACCCTGCGCAGGCTATGATTCATCTTTAGCAAACCCCACATGCATCAATATATTGACGCGAAGGGGAATTATTAACAATAATATTGATGTGAATTCAGAAATATTGTCAATCTCGATGTAGGGTCCACCCCACACGTATCAATATATTGACGCGAAAGGGAATTATTGACAACAATATTGGTGATGGAATACAGAAATATTAGGTCGTATGAATAAAAGCGTTTACTTTACTTTCCCCGTAAGAAAAGCACGGGAAAGTAAAGTAAACTCTTTTTATTCATACGGCCCATTGTCAATATCGATTAATTGAGGTCAATATAGAATGTATTGACAATACGATGATTGTCTATAGCGCCCATTACACATATCAATATATTGACAATAAATTGACATACTGACAATATTATTGAAAAGGTGATATTGAAGACGATGATTGATGACAAGTATTGTCGAAAAGCTGATTTCAATTTCACTTTGTCAATACTCAGAATGTATTGACAAAAATCCGTCAATTTCGCCATCAATATCATCGATATACAAATATTGACAACATTAATGGCAATACGTTAGAAGTCTTTTTTACCTTAATGTATTGAAGTCAATATTACTTGTCTCAATTTCCCCACACAAGAAACATGAATCAGCGAAAGAAAGTGTGTTTAGAGTTCATGTTTGCATTCGGGTCCAAACAGAAACGATTGCTGAACCTGTATGTATTGAATGAAAATACTAGCTACACTCGAGCTACACACTGAATTCGGTAAATTTTGCCGGGTTTTTGAACAGCTGAAAAAATTGGAAAAATTTCAAATGACCGTTACTCGAAGGAAATCATTAAAATCGACAAATTGGTTTTGTATCGTTCAAAAGGGGTTAACTAGGTCCGACCATTTTCAGTATAAATTTACATTTTTTTTTAATTTTTCACTGATTTTTAAACTTTTACCGAACAGTTCCGTAGTTCAAAAATTACCAAACAGCGGAGTCCTGGTTTAGTGGATATACATACATAGAAACCAACTTTCACCCAACATTTACTTATACTTGCTCATTTCAAATTAATTTCAATTTTTTTTTTCAAAACCAAATTGGCATACCAAATGTTGTAACTTTTTGACAGGACACAGAAAATACACAGGACATGTACTTCCAAATTGATCGACTTTAATCAAATCGATTGTCGAGTGCGCGGAATTACTAGACGTGTGGAATACCCCACGTTAACGGTACGCAGTTTCCCAAATAGAAACTACCATGCTGATGTTTTGGTAAACATTAATAAATGAAAATCATGCATATAATAATTAATTTACGTTACAAGTAGGTATGTGAAACGCTGATACTATTTATTTTATTTTAAAGTAAAAAAAATAACATGATTATGCTTGTGATTTTGTAGAAAATGTACATCCATATAAACGAAGCCTGGGTGATTGGTGACTGTAAAAAGATACATTTTTTATTCAGTTTGAAATCGATTGCATATCACACACGAAAATTTAAAAAAATGGCAACACTGCATGCGCGAAGGTGCTTTGTGAGTTAGTCGATCTAAATGACGTACACAGCAAAAAAAGTTGTTGAATATTACATCGAAACTGCTGCAACCAGGTCAATCCATCGGTTGTGTAATATCACATTGTACGATGTACATCGATTTTGCGAACAAAATTACATCCACTGATGTAATATTGTATCTGCTTTTTGCTATTACATCATTATTTCATGTATCAGCTTGAATTACGTTGATCGATATTACATTTTTTTTTGCTGTGTACGTTCTCCCTCCTCTCAGGTAGGGGAAGAATATTGACAAAGTGAAATGAAAATCAGTTGTTCAACAATACTCGTCATCAGCAAACCCCACACGCATCAATATATTGACGCCAAGGGGAATTATGGACAAAAAAATGATGATGTGAATTGAGAAATATTGTCAATCTCGATATATTGACGTCAATATAGAATGTATTGACAATACGATTATTGTCAATAAAAGTAATCGTGTAGGTTCCACTATCAATCCATCTTCATCAATATTACCTCTTCAATAATATTGTCAGTATGTCAATTTACTGTCAATATATTGAACTGTGTAACGTGTGAACTGTGAACTGTGTCAATATTTATGTATTGATAATATTGTAAGGAAAATTGACAATACGATGTTTGTCAATATATTGACATGTGTAATGGGCGCTTATAGTGGACCTTACACGATTGCTTTTATCACGGCTTTTATTGACAATAATTGTATTGTCAAAAGATTCTATATTGACGTCAAAACATCGGTATTGACAATATTTCTGTGTTCACATCTATATTATTGTCAATAATTCCCCTTCGCGTCAATATATTGATACGTGTGGGGTTCGCTTATGAAAGCAATCGTGTGGGTCCACTTTGCCCATTTGTTGATATTAAAGAACCGTGAACTATACTGCCGCTCTTTGTACGTCCGTCCCATGACGAAAATCGGCAAGCCGAGAAAATCGCATTTTAAACTTGATTCTTATACCCCGTTCACATTACAGCCTATATCACGTAATATAGACTGTCTTGCAATGAGCACTCATACATAGAATTTGCAGTGAAAACTAAGATGTATGAGTGCTCATTGCAAGACAGCGTATATCACGTGATATACGCTGTAATGTGAACGGGGTTTTTTTTTTCCTTTGGTTTTGTTTTTTCCGTCGATCTTGTTTTCCGTGCTGAGCACCAATGCTACCGACGTGCCAGGAAGGCAGCTCCCACACCTGGACCCTACCTATCGACCCATCAACTCATGAACCGGGGACCAACGGCTTTACTTCCCATCCGAAGGAAGGCGTGATCAGAGATGTTATGCCACTACACCACCGGCGCCGTTAACGGGGTATTATCAACAATCAATACGAAACTAACGATTTTAAATTGGCTTACCACTTTAGTAGCCTATTGGTCCCAAGCAAACGATTAACGTACCCTATTCTAGTTGAAATTCTATTACTACACTATGGCTGTGAACCATTTGCCGAGTTAAATTTAACTCGTGGTTAAAAATGACATTTCGAAAGTTATTTCTTATGTTCGAAAATCCCCGTGCTGTCGATCGACCGGTTTTCGAGCCACGGTCGTCAAAATTTAACTTCTTGTCTGTCAGAAATAACCATGCTCGGATAGCAGGGTTAATCGATAACTTTCCATCTGTCAAATTTTAACCAAAAGTTAAAATAATCCACCAAATGGTTCAGAGCCTATGTTTGTTTTGATTCGCTATGAAAGTTTGACAGATAACATCAGGAGTGTGTGGATTCATGCAGAACATGCAGGGGGGAGTGAAATAGCTTGGGACTGCTTGGGACCGTTGTTCTGGTACGGAGTGAGCCAAAAATAATAATGATTTTCTTCGGGACCCAGTGGTCTTAGAGTTACCTCTATGGTATTATCATAGAGGTAACTCTAAGACAAGTAGGTCCCGAAGAAACGTCGCTTGTAGCTTGTCGAATCACCCCTCGAAACATAGGAAAAACCAATAACCCCTCATTTTATCTGTCAAACTTTCATAGCGAATCAAAACAAACATTGCGTAGTACTAGAATTTCGACTAGAATAGGGTACGTTAATCGTTTGCTTGGGACCAATAGGCTACTAAAGTGGAGAGCCAATTTAAAATCGTTAGTTTCGTATTGATTGTTGGTATTATGACGTATAATCATCGAGTTCATCCAGTATTATAAAAATATGCACGGTGAGAAAAATGTACCCAACGGCCAGTTCACTGTTACCTACTTTTGACTAGTTTGTTTCCTTTTCTCCTTCTAATGTTGTCAAAAACGGATGAGCAAAACCACCCAACAGGGGTAGTGAAGTGTGGGAACCCAACGTTGAGTATAATCATATTTACCTACTTTTGAGTACAACTAACTTACTTTTCGGTAGAAAGCGAGTGGAAAATTCCATACGAATTGCACACAAGTAAATGAAAACTACTTTGACCCGCTTTACCTACTTTTGGGTTCCTGCACTATAAACGGATACGAATTTTGTTCATTTATAGCAAAAATATAAATATTTATACTCTAAACATATGAATTATTCAAAGTAAATTGCACGCATGTTCAAAACTAAAATATTTATGTTTGAATTAATTTCAAAATCATGTTTATTTCAACAATATAGGATTTGGGTAAACTGTTTTTTGCGTGACATGCCTTTTTATTTCCTTCTTGTTACATTCGGAAAAAGTTGCCCAAGCTTTGCTCAACTCAACAGAAAACGGCCTGAAAGTGGCAAAACCGAAGATGGATCCGGAAACGAGTCCGGAAACCAGCTCGACTAAACCGGCGGAGCCCCACAGCACAGACAAACAGACATAACACATTGAATATTTCTCAATGTAAAACATCATCGCTAAAACATTACCGCCCTCTGTTGAGTACACTGTGGTGGGTAGTACACTGAACAGATGGCGGTAGTGTGTAAACGTCAAACTCAAGGAAAATGACTATGCGCGCCACAGGTGGCGATACTACGAACTACGATACTTATAAATTGACCGTTAAATGCTTGTTCGATGAAAAACTTGCGAGAGTTATGTCTGTTTGTCTGTGCCCACAGTATCAACTTCACTCCGTCTTTTCTGATGGCGATCGCTATATCATCCTCCTCCACACGTGACTTTGAAAGAACAACGAAAATCCGAAATGGACTCTGAATCCATTCCGGATCCTCCTCCGACACCGAACATAGAAAGAAACCGGTATGAGGACCAGTGGCAGAAACCGAGGCAGAAACGACAAAACGACGCTAATATCACAAATTTTCTCCGGTTCCACTGAACTGGAACCCCCATCCCGACGGGTCCCCGCATCCCGGACCAGGACTCCAATACCCACAGGTCACCCTTAATCGCACCTGAAAAAGAACAGGAATTTAGATGCCCTGCCCGAAGATCTTTCTTTTTCATTTCTTTGCAAACCGTTTTATTTTGCTTTACCCTGCACTCAACTACTAAAATAATTTCAAAATAGGTATATTAATTTTAAACATGATAAGCATGTCTAAAATAAACATTTATTATTGTTCGCATAACTGTCAAACCAAACAAAAACAGATACGTTTATTTTCATCACGAATATTTTTGAAATAAACGTATTGCGCATTTTGCACCTCTTTAGACAACTGTGCAGAAAATTTCTTCACAGTGAATATTTTGTACACCTGTATTTCACTCATGCATGCAAACCGTTCATATAGCCCAAAATGCATTTGCGATCAATTAAACGAAGTTTTGCGATGGCTCATAGTGTAAATGCAGGCTACCATGATGAAGTCGTTTCCCTTCGTAATATGTTTGGTGAATTGGACGACATTTTTCAAGCATTTACAATCAAAATGGAGCACCTGAATCGAGGTATTCAAGCATTGGAAAAGCGAGATACTATGCGAGAATCTTTTATTTCTGCTGCAGAGGAAACTGTCCGACTTGAAGAGACTGATTTCTCTGAACAACTTGCAGCACAAATTCTTGAGCAAGTTGACGTGGACCATTGTTAGTTTGAAATCGATTTTTATCGTATGATCAGCTGGTTTTATTAAAAGAGTAATAAAAACAATACATTTGGTTTACTTCTACATAGATAACATTTTAAAATATATAATTTTTATGCAATTTCCCGTTGCTTCTCAGAATTGTTTTCGCAACCAAGTGTTTTTAAGTCATTTTCGAGTTCAACTGTCGGGTCAAAACGTCCACCTTAAATGAAGCCACATTTCTTGAACAAGCTTGAACAAGGATACCAAGAAAAATGTTCCATAATTTCTGATACAACAATCTTCATGTCACGATGTGAACATTCCACGTAAGGCCTTTTCATATGCTGCCTAACCAGCCCAAACACAATCTCAATGGAATTAAAGAATGGACAATATGCAGGTAGGAAAATAGGAATAATTCCTAACGATCTCAGATAGTATATGATCATAGGGTCGCAATGAATGCGTGCCCCATCGAGTATCCAGATGGACGACCGTCCAGGGTACATTTCTACGTCTGAATTTTTGATGAATTTCCTGCAGCATTCAAAAAACTTCTTTCATGCCATCCTGATCAATAAAGCATAAAAATGATACTCTGGGCTTACGGATGAACTCACCTCGGCAGATCAGTCGTTCTCTTCGTGTACCATAGCCACGAGTTCGAAGCATTCCACGGTTATCGAAACTCACTTCGTCAAGGAATATCAGGTTGTGATATTCCCATTTGATACCATGTAGCTCTTCACAGAACCGGATAATATCGTCTTTTCGGATTTGAAGTGCTTTCGATAGCTTTCCATGTGAGTCCTTCATGATTTAGGATACGGCAGATAGAAGAAGTTGAAATCTGCATTAAGAAAGTCGTCTCGAAACATTCCTTGGCCTCGTCTAGGTAGAGCGTCGAATTCCGATTGAACAGCTGCACTAACCACATTCGTTTATCTGCACCAATTTTTTTTTGCAATCCTTGAATATTCCTTGCGTGAGAATGAACCATTTTTTTTTGATAGTTAGCTATCCAATTAGTGATCGTTGTTTTGTGTTTCCGGTACATTGTAGCCAACTTGGTCTTCGAAATCCCCAGGAAAAAAATAGCCGTATAAAGGGTGTCCACGATGAAATTGCCACACACAAAATTGATTCGCAAAATTCGAGTTTTCATCCGATTGCCATCAAATTTTCAGGGATTGAGAAATAACTATTAAACTTCATTTTACCATTTTACTCGTATTTTATTTACAGTCCATACGCAAATGCCCGCACCTTGGCCTTAACCCCGGCCATAAGATTCTGCACAACCTGTGAATCAACCGTTTTTGCATGTAAACCCATACTTTCTTCAGTTCCTCGACTGTCTTCACTACCTTAGGTCGTTTAAGAAGGTGCTGCTTCATAATCGCCCAGTACTTCTCGATGGGGCGGAGCTCCGGAGTGTTGGGAGGGTTGAACATTTTTGGCACGAAATTGACCTTATTATCCGCATACCACTTCAGCACGTCCTTGGAGTAGTGGCATGAGGCCAAATCCGGCCAGAAGATTGTTGGGACGTTGTGGGCCTTCAGGAGAGGAAGCAGCCGCTTCTGGAGGCACTCTTTTATGTACACCTGTCCGTTCATCGTGTCCTGGGTCACGAAAGGTGCACTCCGCTTCCCGCACGTGCAGATGGCTTGCCAAACCAGGAATTTCTTCGCAAATTTGGACATCTTCTGAGTGCGGACATGCTCCGGAACGCTGAACTTATCCTTGGCCGTGAAAAACAGGTTGCCGGGGATCTGTTTGAAGTCGGCCTTCACATATGTTTCGTCGTCCATGATGCAGCATTCAACTTTCGTCAGCATGTTGAGGTACAACTTCCTGGCACGGGTTTTGGCGGACTTGTTCTGCTTCTCGTCGCGATTAGGGGCCTTTTGTACCTTCAACGTTCGAAGCCCAGCCTTAGTTTTGGCCTTCTGGACAAAACTTCGGCTTAGGTGCAGCTTCTTAGCCACATCCCTAACGGAGGCGTTCGGATTTCGGTTGAAGGCCCCAACTACGTGGTTGTGATTTTTGGTGTTGTACGGAATACTTTTTCCTTCACTTCTGGGCTTCCGATCGGTGGTCAACCGTTCCTCGAACCGCTTAATCACTCGCGACACCGTGGAATTCGCGATTCCCAACGTTTTAGCGATGGAACGATGCGAGAGATCCTTGTTCTCGTGATGAATGCGCAAGATTTTATCACGCACGAGCTGTTCTTTCGACTCCATTTCCGCGAGTTTTGATCACAAGACTTTAAAACTTGCAGGATGTAAATAATGCACTATGAACTAAATCCACCCAAATTTTCATTAAATTCTACCCAACGGTTAAAAAGTTAGAGCAATTTCATAGTGTGGCAATTTCATCGTGGACACCCTTTAACACATGATAAACAGTATTCTTTTGATGCACGGCACTTGGTAACCTCGTGTAAAATATCTGCCATTCCTTATTATACATTAAATCCATTATATTTTATCATTTTATGCATATATTTATATGAAATAAATATAACCTTTGAACAATTTGTTTAACAGGTTTCAAATATCAACCGAAAGACCATCGATGAGCAGCAGATGTCATAAAAAAATAAACATAATTATGACACTACTTGTTGTCACACTGGCTGTGCATGTGTTAGTGTATGCGGAGAAGTAGCTTCATACGTTTGAAATTAACCTAATTTATGCTTGTGGCCAGAACAAACTGAGTTTACGTTTAAATTTACCTCAAATATTTTTGTTTCGACGATGGTTTTTTTCTGCGTGTATCAGGTAGGGAAAAATTTCCCCTATCTGATCGTAGTAACTATATGTATACATGTACTATATTGCACTGCGTGGGCGATCAATGCATGCGTGGGCGAATCAATGGAACTCGACATTTTTCCAGTTGCATGAAACTTTGCATAATGGTTTGGGGCAATAATTATTTTTTTTTATTTAAATTGTGTCTTTGACATTTTTCATTAAATAGTAGCACGAACACGACAATTCTGATCGGCTAAGACAAAGTTGTTGAAAAAAGTGTTTAAATATGCACAATAGTTTTTGTCAGTAATTTTGAGTATTAATGTAAAAAAGTGCCCAACACTCAAATATGTCAAAATGTCTTTGTTCAAATTTTAATTAAAAAAAAAAACTGATGAAAAATCAATTTTTTTTTAAATGTTTAAATTTTTTTAATTATTAGAATATTTAGACTGGGAAAATCTTGTTGCAGGCGTGCCGAGTATGCAAAAAAGGGGGGGGGGAGACTCCAGATGTTGATCTAAATGCATATATAGAGGTACCACGCATGTTGTGCAGTGTCAAGTTGTCAAGTACTCTACTTTGTAGTCTATGAAATGGATTTCTAGGTTTTTTGACGGCACTGTCCACTGTGAACCACTAACAGAAAACAGATTTTGTGTGAAATTTCCGATAGACGTAACAGCAAACAACATCAGTGCCATCTGATGAAAAATGAATACAGAAGCGTGACTAAATGCCTAATAGCTCGAGCAGTAGCCACATGAGTTTTTAAAAGTTTCCTATTACTAAAAACAAAAATTAAATGCGCGCACATTTGATTTATCTGAATAAAACTTTTACACTCCAACGTTCCATTAGCTAACAATGACGCAGCTTAAATGGTGGGCTATGGGACGTTTCTTTCAGAATGAGTTCGTCATGTTTACAAATCTGTACAACATACTTTAATCTTCTAAAATACTCGGTAAGACTTTACTCTACTAGCAGTAGAAAATGGTTCACGAGTGCACACCTCTTCACACAGGACGAATAGTAGACTTGTCGAATGAATGTACAACGATTTCAAGCGAAAGAGATATGTTGTTGCTGCTGCCCACACGAGGATCCACGTGCTTTGTTTGGAATCTCGAATGAAACGATGCACGGCTTCGTTCGTCACCGGTCAAACACAGCTCTCCGGTACACGTGTCGTCATGAGGCGATCCTTAATCACATTGATGTCCAGATCGGATCCACCGGCAGCGCCAGAGCTAATAGTTGCATTTGCACTCGGATATTGTATAGGTGGTCCGCTGTGCACCGGCATGGGATGATGTCTCCCGCTACTGCTTTCCAGTGCCATCGTAAGCGGGTGGCCACCGACCATAACCGCCGTTGAACAGTCCAAGCCCACGCCGGTGCTACTGAGATTGGTTAGGTCTATCGGATTAAGGTAGTACGAGTTTGCCGAATAGTCGACAAATGCGTAGCTGTCGTCCTGCAAAGACGCAAAAGTTGCAGAGAAAAAGGCATGATGAAAATACAATCCCCCTTGATTTGATTCTGGGCCGAAATGGACTTCTTTGTGTCGCGCAAAAAAGTAAAACGATACTCGGTATTTGTTGAGTAGAAAGAACTTACCTTTTCCCTGGTACCGAGCATTGGAGTCGATATCATCGGGGAAGACGAAACTGTGGGAAAATAGGATAGAGACAATTTGAGACGTGAAAGTGGAGTATGTTACATGTAAATGAGAACATAAGTGAAATGGATGATTTGAAGATGCTTTTTAAATAGGTTTATTGGTTGATTCAATGAAAATTGTGAAGCTTTCCTTGATATATGGACCTTAAAAAAGGCTGTGCTTATTAAGATCAGGACTGTGGAGTCGGATGAATATTGAACGACTTCGACTCCGACTTTGACTTCTCCGATTTGAAATTAACCTACTCCAACTTTGACTCAGACTCTTCGATCGAATCTAATAAAATACAATTACTTCAAAACATCACGAAAAAAAAATAAAATTCCATATAAATTTTCAGCACATTAAAGCAATCTTTATACAAAGTATGTCGTGAATTCTAACAAAATCGGTTACAAACGTATGCAACGAAAAATTGATACTTAAAAAATCAAAATTCGTCACAGTTTCGAGTAAAATACTACAGTAATGACCCGATTTTGTCAGACTTCTATCATTAAATAATTTCATAAAATCGTAAGTCCAAATCATCCTCATGCATCTTCAAGATGTGTGTTTAAGATATACTTTGGTGCAGTGAGACCACTGAAAAAGCGCATAGGTTTCGTAGAACATTAGAAAAGATTTTCAAAAAGGGGGCTGACAAGTTCGGGTGATTACTGTATAGCTTAGATAAGAGGTGAAACTTCGTACAAATTTGATAACATTTGTATTGGCATTTGTCACAACTTTCAAATCATATTTTAAATCAAATGGTAAATAGTTCAAAAAAAAATTTGCCCCATCTTACAATAAAATGTCCATAGCTTTTAAAAAAATATTGAAAAGATTTAACAACTTTTTTAAATAAATGGATCAAGTCTTTTTATCAATAAATTGGCCCATGATTGTATAAAATTGATCACATTCTATAACTCGATGGTTCACACCCTTCAATATCGAGTTGTAGAGAGTTCACTGCACAACAAACTGCATTAATCTGTTTAATGGTAACGTGAACAATATTGAGGCTTTGCTGCGTGATCAAAAATATTTGTCACGATGTAAAAAGCATTTATTTACTCAAAACAATCATAAATCAAGCCTCGAAAAAATTGAACCTTATTGCATTTATTGCGGAAAAGCAATTGGTTTCGGCAAGGTTTCGTTGTTCAACAAGTTTTGACAATATTTGTAATAATACTTATTAATAAGTATTACTAACTTTTCTAGTTTCAATCAATCAAGTTTCGGTGTAGTTTAAGGATGGTTGTTGAATTCAAATTTTAAATAGAGTTGCGAACTTGTAGTTGCTTATTGCTTGATGTTGCATTTTTGCAACTTGAGTAAAAATTTCTCAAATAAAAGGATATATCGATGATTTTGGGCCTAATATAGATTCTGCTCCCACTGGGTGCTGGCACATTCCTGTGTTGAACTGAGATCCTGAGGGTTGATAAAAATCCATTTCCATAGACGCTAAACGTTGTTAGTTGATGCAAAACTTAACCTCCAAATTAATAGATGTTACACCTAATTGCGTTGAACAAACTTTAACCTTCAAGTTGATTGGTGCGACTCGATCCAGCTGTGTCCTACAAAAATCTATCATTTGAGTGCATTGAAGCGTCTTTGAGTAAATGCATGAATGGTAACGAGTTAAGAGAATAGGTTGATTTTTTCTGAACATTTAACTCTCTACACCTCGATGTCCAATTAAACTGGAAATCGAGTTATAGATCCATAATGTGGTAGAGATTTCTTAATGATTGAATCAAGGGCTTGCCCAAGAACAAAAGCTGATTATTGGTTGATTTAAGGTGTACAAATCTGATTAACATCAAGCTGAATATATAGTTGGTTAGTAGTGCATGAAGCGAATTAAATCCCCATAATCCAACCTCAACAAATTAGCTGATCTAAATATTTAACAAGCCTTACTTAAGCTTAACACAACTCCACAAATCAGCAATGCGTTACACATATTTTGATAGCTTGATTTGTTAAATGTCGTCAGTGTCTGTGTCACTCGTTGCATTTCCGGCAATTTAGTTCTTCTAAATTCACTGCCTACCTTTCTAATTACAAGCAGTGGCAGCAGTAGAGACAAGAAAGAGGGGATTTATAGGAATAGCCCCAGGTAGATGTGGGCTGCGATGACGTCGGAAGTATTAACATTTGTATTCCTGTGTTTTATCTGTTATATTGCACTGAAGTTTCAAACCGCATTCCAAAAATATTACTCAATTATAGCACTGAATGACCACCAAATGACCACCGACATAAATCACGCACTTGTGTCCACATTGTGTTAGCTGCACTTGAAAATGAGAGGAATGTTTTACTGTCACCAGTTGTTGTTTACAATTCTGCATTGCTGTATAATACACTTCCGGTTGCTGTTATTCAACTTCAATTTGACGTGCTTCAGGTTAATGATCATACCTTTTGCCACACATATGCTTAAATGGTCCAGTAGGTATGGTTTACGCTTGTGAATCAGCGACTTCTTACTTTACTTATTAAGGGTCCTGTGCACCACCAGCGGTGCAAAGGGCCATCCTGGGCGGCTGCTCGCTTTTGCCTTGACCTGGGCCCAGGTCAGATTCCTCTCGACTTGCTTAATTTCCTTGTTGAGACTCCGCCGCCATGAGCCCCTGGGTCTGCCTCTGGTGCGATGTCCTGCCGGATTCCAATCCAGCGCTTGGTTGCAGATTTCGTTTCCGCCCCGTCGAAGTGTGTGGCCGACCCACCTCCACTTTCGCTCTCGAATTTCTGTTGCTATTGGCTTCTGATGACATCGACGATGGAGCTCGGCATTCGAGATCCAGTTGTGAGGCCACCAGGCACGAATTATATACCGCAGGCATCGGTTGATGAAGACCTGCAGCTTTTGAGTGTTCTCCGCTCCGAGTGAGATTTCACGTTCGAGTTGAAAATTCGGATTTTGGTGCGTTGAATTATCTGGTTGGATCTCCATACGTTTCGTAAACTCGCAAAGGCAGCCCTAGCCTTCTTGATTTGTGCACCTATGTCGCTCTTGGTCCCGCCGTCGGACGCTATCTGGCTGCCAAGATATTGGAAACTTTCGACCTTCTCCACTGCTTGCCCCGCTACCATAGCCTACAAGCCTCCGTTATGCAGAACTCTGCACGTAAAAGCCTCATACTGCGCTTCGATGAGGTTGACGATTTTATCCGGGACTCCCTTGCGTCTCAGGGCGCCCCACAGGTTCTCGTGATTGAGACGGTCGAAAGCTTTTTCGTAGTCAATGAATACTAAATAAAGAGACTCTTGGAATTCATTGACCTGCTCCAGGATGATGCGGAGCGTGACAATATGGCCCACACAAGATCTTCCGGCACGGAATCCTGCCTGCTGCCGTCGGAGAGTCACGTCGATCTTCTCCTGTATCCGATTCAGGATAACTTTGCACAGAACCTTGAGAACAATACACAGTAACATGATGCCACGCCAATTGTCGCACACAGTCAGATCCTCCTTCTTTGGGACCTTCACTAAGATGCCATGCATCCAGTCGACCGGAAAAGTCGCGGTGTCCCAGATATTACAGAATAGTTTATGCAACATTTGAGCGGATAGCATGGGGTCAGCTTTGAGCATCTCCGCTGATATGCGATCGACCCCTGGAGCCTTGTTGGATTTCATGCTTCGGATAGCTGCTTCAATCTTCTGCAGTGATGGGACCTCGGAATTGACGCGAGTGATGCGCCGCACCCTAGGCGGATCATGCCGAGATGTTGATGGCTGGTTGGCCGTCGAAACTTGAAGAAGTTGTTCGAAGTGCTCAAACCAGCGTTTCAGCTGGTCAGTGGGGTCGGTAAGCAATTGTCCAGTCGTGTCCTTCACTGGCATTCTCGGGTTCATCCTTGATCCACTCAGGCGTCGTGAGATATCGTAGAGGAGGCGTATATCGCCAGTGTTTGCGGATTTCTCCCCTTCGTCGGCCAGGGAGTTCACAAACGCTCGCTTGTCCCGTCTGCAAGAGCGCTTGAATTCCTTCTCTAGAGCCGAGTACCGTTGACGGGCTTCGTTCTTGGCTCCTTTGGTTCTCGCCCGCTCTATCGCGGCTTTTGTTTCTCTACGCTTCTCAATCTTCCGTCAGGTTTCATCTGTGATCCACTCTTTCCTCTGGGTGCGCAGCTCACCTAAGTAGTTCTCGCTTGTTTCTATAAAGGAATTCTTGATGGCCGTCCATTGTTCTTCTACGCTGCCACCTTCTGGAACGTCTGCAGCTCGATTCTCAAGTTCTTCAACAAAAGACCTTTTTACCGCTGGATCTTCAAGTCGGCGTGTGTTGAACCGCCGCCCGAGTCTCTCCTCCCGTCGCTGGATCCGCGCCATGCGTAGGCGGATTTCGCCGATTAGAAGGTGATGGTCAGACGCGATGTCGGCGCTGCGTTTATTCCGGACATCAAGAAGGCTCCGTCTCCATTTTCGGCTGATGCAGATGTGGTCGATCTGATTTTCGGTATGTCCATCACGGGAAACCTACGTGACTTTGTGCACTGGCCGATGGGGGAAGAGCGAGCCCCCGATCACCATGTCGTTATTGCCACAAAATGCTGCAAACAGCTCACCGTTCTCGCTCATATCTCCGAGACCATGGCGTCCCATGACACGCTCATAGTCCGTGTTGTCGGATCCGATCTTCGCATTGAAGACGCCAGTGTAGATCTTGATGTCACCCTTTGGAACCTTATCCACGACGGCATTCAGTTGACTGTAAAAATTCTCCTTGTCCTGTAGCTCGGCAGCATCGGTTGGCGCATAACATTGGATTATGGTAAGGTTACGAACCCGTGTTCTAAATCCTGGACACTAAGTAGGAGACCAACTCCACGATGACGGTGAGCGTTTTCAAGTTTAGATGCTCAACAAATCTCACACTAGCGAATAAATCTTCGAAAAATCTTCTTTCATTTGTCGCATCTATTTGCATCGCTCATCATCTTTTTGCAGGAAATCTTCAGAATCGTCATCAAT